AGAGCTTCTGTGACGTGAGGGAGGAGCTGCAGCAGTAGTGGATTCTCAATAGAGAGAAGAATGCTTAGCAAAGAATGGCTTCTTCACAGAGCTGGAAATATCAAAGGAAGTTGATGAGACACTCCTATCTGCTGCAGTTTGGAAATCAAGACAGCGAGCAAATTTGGAGACGTGCAAGGGCATGGAATCAAGTTGTTGTGGGGGCTGAGCAGTAGAAATATTTGCTGTGGGGGGGAAGCTCAGGGGATATGTCCCATCTGTTGGGATGGACAAGGAATGGCAGGGAGAAGGAAAAATTTGCTGGGGCATATATTTTTGTTATGAAGGGGAGGTGCAGTGGGGGGGAAGGTCAGTTTGTTGGGATCCGGATGGTGCATGTAGGGGCTGAAGATGAATTGAGAGGGGCTGCCTGTGAGATCAGAGGCATGGATTGCTGGGGTTAAAGAATCAGTTGAGGGTTGGGTGGTAGATATTGGATTGAAGTGGACACCCTGGTTGAACTTGAGGTGTTGTGGGCACTATCAGGAGTTGGGCTGATAGATTGAATAAGGAGGCTGTTTAGAAAGGGCTAGTTCAAGGGCGGAGATTTGGGTGATAATCTTCAGGGAGGATAAAAAAAAATCAGTTGACTGTGGACAGGGAATTGATTGATGGGGTGGGATAAAAGGCTGGAATGAGGCCAGAAGAAGGGGTGGGGGGATACTAGGAGACCAAAGGAAGGACTATGGAAAGTGTAGATGGATTTATGGACAAGGGGATGCGCTGAGACTGAGAAGTAGATAATATGTTCATGTCCTGGGATGGGCAGAAGTTTAACTGACATATAACTGATTAAGGATATTTGGGGAAAGGTGATCTTGGCAGAACATTGATTAAGGAGTTGGATTAGAGAGGTGGAGAAATGATGGGAAGGGAACTGATTAGAGAGAAAAGTAATGGGGTCAGAAGTGTATCATTTGCATAGGCTGTATAGTTTATTTTGGATAGTGAGGTGATAGGGTAGGAGTTGCTGTGGGGCAGAGCTTTGTTTGAGGGACCTGGCTGGAGAGAGGGATGGAATGGGACAGACTGATGAGGAGAACAAAAGCATGGACTAAAGGTTTCAGGTGTACAGAGAATGGATTGTGGCAGAGGCTGGACTGAAGGGCATACTGAGTTTGGGAAAGAAAAGCAGGGAAACAGAGGCTATTTGGAAATTCCCAGTATAACCGAGAAAAAAATTACGGAAACTTTGAGAGAGAACAAAGCATGGAAGAAAGAAGTCAAAACATGACTGAATAAAAGGGGGATAAAAGGAAGGAAAAAGCATTGATAGAGCAGGAAGGTGGAGAACAGGGCTTAGAAAGTTATGGCAAGAATGATGATTGTGAGGAGCTGAGGGTAAGATGGGGAAAAGCAGGGCAGGGAGTCCAGAAAATTAGGGAAGGAGAAACAAAGACAGAAAGTGAACAGTAGAGAAGAAGGAACAGGAAAGGAAAGGAAAATTAATGAATTAAGGGATTTTTAAGAAAGAATTAAAAAAAAAGACAGTAACTTTTGCATTGTTATCACTTAAAATAAAGATTGAAGGCAAAATGTGTAAAAAAAAAATATGTGTATCATTCATCTTACTGTGGAGTATGCAGAGTTTAGAAGCTTTTGCTCAAAGCCTGGGGTCCTGGTATGCTAGCAATGTATTTGGAAAAAAGGGATAATCTGCTATATTGAAAATAAATCAAATTATAGTCAGAAAGTAAATGGAGAAAGATTATATTATCTTAAATGTAGATTATTTTTTTTTGTGTATGGGAAACCCACACAGGATTTTGGTACTCAAGGTATGTGGGGGCGCTTGTCCACGTTATACCTCTCCTGTTACCATGTCACACTTTTCCTGTGTCCGTGTGACAAAAATCGCCATTAAGCTAGCTAAATAGCATCCGTGTATCCACATTCTCAGCTGATTTGATCGTTTTAGATTTTTTTTATTGTGGTTATTTAAAACACCTCCAACATGTTTTATTTTTAGCTCCTGAATTTCTTCCATGAGGGTTTTTTTTATCCTTTAAAATTTTCAATGTGGATCTGATTTACGCCCAAAAATATGATTTTCCCTGCTTTGCAACTATTACACCACCAGATGCTGCTTGGGTTCACTCAGTAATCCATGGAAATCCATTGAATCTCTATTGTAATACTTCAACAAGACTCCAGGAGCTAACCTTGCAAATTTTTACATAGTTTAAAGTTCAGACTAATGAAAAATATAACTTTTTTGGATTCCAAAAAAAATTGCTCCCTGTGTTTGCATGTACTTCGTGGCAAAGATCAGAATGTTATGGGTCAGGCAGCTCAAGATTCAGGCTAATTAAAATTACTTTTTGTTGGACTGGGTTTTCAGTTTTTGGTTTGGCAGGGCTGGGGGGGGGGTGGGCAGGTCAGGAGTGAGGGGGACCAGCAGGGCTGGGAGGGTAGGGGTAACCCGGGTGGTACTCAGATGAGGCACCCTCTCTCCAATTGAAGTGATTTAACAGGTTTAGTGTGCTATGGGAGGGGTAGCCGCTAATGGGGGGGCAGCTCTCCTCCTATCCCCTATAGAGTAGAGCCAAGACCAATTGGAACTTAACCACATAT